ATATTCTCAATTCGCCAGGTCAATTCTAAAACATTACTAATTTCCTCTATGAAACCAAGCTTTACTAGGAAATTTAGAAGAAGAAACATAGTTTGGAATTTGATGATTAATATTTGTATCAATATTTAATGTATTTAATGTATTTCTTTATTGATTGAAATGTTACTGTATATTCTTGTAATGTAATGTTATAAAATTGTACCTGTGTCAGTGACCTACGCTGTCGAGACACGTAAAGATAAATAAAAAAAAAACAGTGAAACATTAATTTCTTATTTATTGTTTTTTGTACTTTGCAGTAGCCGTATTCATTTAGACTCAAAACAAATTTATAAAATGTTTATTTTGCACATATTATGTTTACAAGTGCAAGAAACTAACAAGTTCGACATAGTTTTCATTTAAGGCCATCAAAGCAGACCATGCTTTTATAACTTACTATTACGATAGTAGAAATAAAACCCCACTTTGTCTGTAAATTATTTTGACTTTCATTTAATAAATAAATTTGTGGTTGTCAAATAGATACCAGAATAGAAAATGAAACAGAAACTATTAATAGATATACAATAATTGGAAAACTAACTTCCCACCAGACAAGATTCCTTCTTTGGACTGGGTTATTTGCTTATAAGTTTAAACAAATTAGATAGGTTGATTATTAACGGTTATAACGAAAGTAAAGGTCCACTTTGGTATTTTAAATTAAACCTAATATATATTTTTTTGAATTCTGTATGAAATTTTAGATACAATTTGCACACAATGTCCTGTACAAAAATGAAGTGTTCTCGAGATATTTTTTTCAAGATTTTGAAAAATATAGTCCTCATTAACTAACAATATCTCTATAATTAACAAGACTAGTAGTGTGAAATTCTAATTAATAAACTACAAGCGCTTGATCGTTAACTCCATATTATGTCTTACTCATTGATATTTCATACAAAGTGTTTTAAACATAGCCGCTAACATGCACAATAATAATTATATATTTGTTGCTTAATGCCATTTTATCCTCTCACCTTTTCCGTGGTCTTCCAATTGCACTTGCGCCTGTATTTTACTATCTAGGATTCTTTTACATGACTAGCCCATCGAAGTCTCTGAAGCTTTGTTTTCCTTTACCTGAAGATATGTGAAATTTTCTACAGTTTCAATCTTCTTCTTCTTCTTCCTCAGCTTTTCCTGTTTCAGGGGTCGCTGCTCCTTACTCTTCGTTGCCACTCATTTCTGTCCATCGGGTCTTCTTCACTTAAACTTTTCTCTCTTAAGTCCTTTGCCACACAGTCCTTTCATCTTTTCGGTTTTCCGCTACCTCTTTTTTTAAAAAATTCTAACATATTTATCCTTCATCTCACATATTTTGCATCTCTACATCTGACATGACCATATCATTGCAGTCTTTATTCTTAAATCTTTTTTGAGACTGTAGTCACTCCGGCTCTGTCCGTCTAGTCTTACCTAACATCCACCGTAACATTTTCATTTAAGCTACCCCGATCTTCTCTTCCTGGATCTACTTTACAGGCCACAATTCACTGTATACCAACTCAGGCCAAAATAAACTCTTGTATATCTTTTCTTTTAGCCCTTCACCGATTTTTCGATCACAACGTGCCTCAATCATTTGCTCCCAGTTAAACCAACCAGCCTGTATCCTACATTGGATGTCCCTGGACATTTTCTCGATCTAGTGTCCCATTTTCCGTTATGTAGGATCCAAGGTATTTAAATTCTCCTACTTTTCCCTAAGCAATTCTACGTCCGCAACCATTTGTATTCCTCCCAATCACAGATACTCCGTTTTCAACCTGCTAACCTTAAGTCCTCCCTCTTCAATAGCCCTTCTCCAACACTTACACTGCTTCTCCAACATTTATTTGTTTTTCTCTACTAATACAACATTATCAGCAAGAAGCATTGAACAAGGAGCCCCCTCCCTTACTCTGTCTGTCAGTACATCCATAACAAGATTAAACAGGTAAGGTAGGTAAGTGCAAAGCAACCGTCATTGGAAAACTTTTGGACAATCCGACAATCCATCCGTACTTTGGTGTACGTTCCCTTATAAATATTCTGCATGAGCCGTCTTCATAGCTCTTCTCTAGGAACTGTATCGTACGCTTACTCAAGATCTATTTCTTCTTGCTGTATTTCTCAATTAACTGTCTCAATTCAAACAAGGCGTCTTCCTCCTTCCTGACATAAGCCCAAACTGTTCTTCTCTTATCGATGTCTCTCTCCTTAACTAACTTTGGCTCTACAGTTCTCTCCAAATTTTTATTGTGTGCGACATTTATTCGTATATAGTTCTTACAGTCCTGAATGTTCTCCCTATCCTTATACAATGATACCGTCACAATCTCTCTCCATACATTAGACGTCATTTCTTCCTTATATATTCTACTTATTATTTGCCACAAAGTATTAACCCTTCCTTTCCTAAAGCCTTCCAAACCTCCACAGGTATTTCATCAGGTCCGATTGCCTTACCGTTCTTTATCCTATTTAACTCCTTGACAACTTCTCTCGCTATACCCTGTATTACATTTTCATTTGGGATCCTCTGGCTCTTCTCTGATGTTCTTCATTTAGCTACGTTTTAAAGTACTCATACCATCTTTGCTTTATTTCAACATCGGTTTTTAGCACTCTGTCATTCGCACTCTTAATCTGCCGCACGTGGGTCAAGTACTTTGATGGATTCTACCTTGTTTTAGCAATGCTGTATAATCTTTTTATCACCTTGGGTGTTTTTAACTCTTTATACTGTTATACCTCTTTTTAGCCTTGTTCTTTTCTCCAACCTTCTGTTGCACCCCATCGTTTTACCACTAAATTTATTTATCTCTGGGACCCCCTTTACCAGATGTTTTTAATTGCACTTCCTCTCCCCCTTGTATCACAACTTTACTGTTGGCTTCCTACCAGTCATTAACCGTATCTTCTTTCTCAAATACGTCTAGCACTCTACTCTATAAGACTATTGCCAAATCCTTATCCTTAAACTTGTACCACTTTACTTTTTGGTGTCCTACCTGCTATCCTTTCCGCCTTACCTTTATCTCCATATATATATATATATATATATATATATATATATATATATATATATATATATATATATATTATTACCTGTTTTTGTTGAATTACTATACACGTACCCTTTACCACTTTACAGTTCGTCACCTCTTTTAGCTGATTTTTTCTAAAAAGCTCGAAATCTATCTGACTTTCTCTTCCCCCCGCTACTATAGGTAACATACTGGTCTTTAGACTTCATAAAGAACCTATTAATCACTGGAAAATACCATGCCACTGCAAAATAAATCACAATATTTCCTTCGTCATTTCTTATTCCCATCCCCAAACCTCCAATAACCCTTTCTATTTCCGTTATTTCTTTGACAATATGTCACCAATAATCACCTCCAATAAATTACTTTCCGTTTACAGGAATCTTAAGCCTCTCACATTCAAGGGCCCTCCAAAATTCTTCCTGTTCCTGTTCTTCACACCCTACCTGTGGGGCTAAGAAACATATTATGTTCACGTTGGTATTTCCTGTATTCAGTTGGGCACTCATTATTCTATCACTTCTTCTGGGTACCCTTACAAGATGTTCCTTCCATTCGTTGTCCAAAATAATACCTACTCCATTTCTACCATCACTGTTCAAACTACTATATATTAACTTGCATCCATCTCCAAGATCTCTTGACTTATTACCTTTTCAATGAATTTCCTGTACATAAAGTACACCAATCCTTCTACTCTGTATGAAGTTGGCGAGCTCCATTTCCTTACCTGTCATACTTCCGCCGTTGAGAGTCGCAACTCTCAGGACTAGCTTCTTTGGCCCCTTTCGTCCTCTAAGGAGTAGCCCTTGCTCACTTTTCGTAGAGATCAGGCAAAGCCGCAATTGCGCATCGCTAACGGGAATCGCGCTAGCCTCTAAACTATTTTTCATATTCCTTTTTTCCACGGTTTTAGCAAGGTTTTTACTCTCCAGATGCCCTTCCTGACGCAAACTATTCTCCTTAATCCGGGCTTGGGACCAGCACTGATAGGTACCGAGCTACTTAATTCACCTAGCAACTAGCAGAGGCGGAGTTTTTCAGTTTCAGTTACAGCTGTTTCTACAGTTTTAATATCATCCTTCCTAATTTAACCGTGCGTCTGTTTCTCATAGCCCTTGCCTGAGTTAGCTTTTCTGAATATTTATTTCTAGTCCGGTCTCCTTTGACTCTGATTTTTATTGTAAATATATTTATGCCGCTTTTTTTGTTCTGCATATTAATGTTATTGGCAGCAATCTGTACTGAATAAATCCATGTTAGTGCCTCTCTAAATACCGACATCTCATAGGTTCAAAAGTTTCTACTATCAACAAGAGCATGGTCGGTAAGATTTTATGCGAGTATATCAGATGATATCCACGTCATCTTGTCTACCTTCCTAGTTACCAATCTTGGCTTTTAGGTAACCATTACAATTTGTGGCATGTGTCATAAGCAAATTCCAATTTCTCATAAAAGTGGTCATTTCTTCTGTTGTTTTTCTTAGATTGTTAGATTACTTATTTTGTAGCTGATTAGTTTGAAGTCAAGAACTGTTTGACGTAGTCTACTTTAAACTATGAAAGCAGTTCCAAATTCGTGTGTAGTATTTTGGCAGTATAGTATACATATAGGTGTCTATTGTATTCTAGATCTAGTTCTATTCTATAGATCTAGTTTGTATTTGGTTAGAGAGAGAAAGAGATACAATGGGAGAGAAAAACTACAAGTTATTGAAACTGTTAAATTCGCTATTTTTGAACTATACCTACTTATCCTAATTACATTATATTTGTACATACGTGCAGAGCCATAACTCTAATAATAATTGTGAGCATAATAGTTACAATAAGTAAATAGTTAATTGCATGTAGCTACTAATTTTTAAAAAATCTTTATACCATATTATTTTTAATTAATTTGTTTTTATATTTCCAGGTAATTTTGCAACTGACGTCATCGGTTCCTGTGCTTTTGGACTAGAATGTAATAGTTTCAAGGATCCAAATAACCCATTCAGAATAAATGGAAAAAAAATCTTTAATAGAACTAACTTGGAAAATTTGAAATTTATGATAGCTAATAACTTTCCAAATTTTGGACGGCTGTTTGGTATGAGGCTGTTAGTTAAAGAAGTTTCTGATTTTTTCACCAAAGTTGTTACGGATACAGTTAATTATAGAGAAAAGAATAAAGTTCATCGTAATGATTTTATGCAGTTGTTGATTGATATTAAGAATAATAAAGAAGGAGCACAAACTTCAGGTAAGAAACTAGTAGTTTTTGAGAATTTTCGAATTTTTCATGGACAACTTTTACTGTATATTTAAAGAAAGCGTATACATTTTCATAAATTCTGCAGCAATCATCAAATTTATTGTTGTGACCAATGTTTAGTGACTATAGTATCTCAAAGATAGTATCTCTTATCCACATTCCTCTAATTCTTCTTTTAACATCTATATATATTTTAATATGACTTTTTGTTCAATTAAGCCTTTTTTGAATCTTCATTGGTTAAGAATCTTAATCTATACATTCTTTACATTTATAGATCACCTGATTCTTCAACGGAACTTATTTTTTCAGAACCTGCTAAATTTGTTAGACGACCTGCCCAATAAAAGTAGAACAATTATATGCAATGACTTGCATATTAATTACGCTGTTGCTTGTGCTACCCAATTATCCTTGGTCAATATATTCGAATCGTATGGTTTCACAATGCACGTTAATTCTCCTACAAGAATTACTAAAACAACATCTACCATAATTGATTATATTGTCTCAGAATTATCACCCCTTGATGTACGCTCTAGGATTATTAATGTAGGACTATCTGATCATAAAGCAGCATATCCCAAGTTTAATACTCTTAATAAACCATCCTCGAGAGCCCAACGTTTAGTTAGGATTTTTTCCGCTCAAAACTTTTGTAAATTCCAAAATTTGTGCTTTTTGTCCAAAACTTCTGGGTGGCACTTTCCCGCTGTGGACGTGGACTATAATTTCAGTGAATTTTTGGATAGGCTTGTCTGTATTTTTAATAAGCCATTTTTTAATTTGCAATTAAGTCAAAACATCACAATCCCTGGAATACCAAAGATATCAGCATATCAGACAAGAATATGCGTTCACTACTGTACATTAAGACATTTACTATATATATATATATATATATATATATATATATATATATATATATATATATATATATATATATACATCGGTTTATCGGAACGTCTTTCGACGTTGTCCGATACTTAAACCCCATTTCTTCCTATCTTCGCAGTCGTTTGTTGTTAAATTTATTTCGCTCATGGACCTGTTTACGCCGTGTTGCCATTCTAATCTGGGCCTTCCTCTTTTCCGTTGACCGATCGGTTGCCATTCTAATACTTTTTTGGTAGTCTTGTTGCTAACATCCGTTGAACATACCCATACCACCTTAAAAGTTTCTTCCCTATATCTTGAGTTATATTTCCTTCTTTTCCCATACGTTGTTTTATTACATCATTTCTGATTCGGTCTCGTCTGGAAATACCTAAAGATCTTCTCATTGCATCCATCTTTACTGTTTCTATTCACTTTTTGTTCTTTTCACTAATTCTCCATGTTTCAGCGCCATAAAGAAGAATAGTTTTAATCATGTTCTCATATATATTAAATTTTCTTCCTTTCGTTATTTCTTTACTCCACAGTATACCATTGAGAGATCCTAAGACTTTCTTTGCTTGGGTGATTCGTTTTTCTATTTCCAGTGTATCATAGCTCTGACAGCAGGAAATATGTTGTCCGTTTTCGAGGTCTATGTTATCTGACTCGTTTCCAATACAAAGATATTTGGTTTTTGTTGTATTGGCATTCATTCCACAAAGGTTATATTCTTTTATCAGTTTTCTAAGCATGTACTGCATGTCTTCTCTGTCAGCCGCTAGTACTACCTGGTCATCAGCAAACTGGAGTGTATATATACATTCATTGCTAAGCTCTATACCCATCCTATGCATATTTCTTTTCCATCTTTTCAATGCTGCTGCAACATATATCTTGAATAAGGTTGGTGAGATACAGCACCCCTGTCGCAAGCCTTTTGTAACCAGGAATTCTTTCGTTAGATATTTTCTTGTTTTTATCTGTGACTTTGAGTCTCTATATAGTTCTTATACAGCATTTATCAATGTGTGGTTGATGTTAGATCTTTTCAACGTTGTCCACAATTTTGTTAAGGGAGTGTTGTCATGTGCTTTTTGAAGGTCTACAAAAGTAATATGAGTTTCTAGATTCTTAGCCGATCTTTTTTCTATTATTTGTTTAAGAAGAAATATGTTATCGGTGCACGATCTTCTTGCACGGAACCCGCTTTGTTCTTCATCTTCATTGTGCTTAAATTCTTCCTCGATCATATTTCCCAAAATTCGTCCATACAGTCTGCTCAAGGTGCTGGTTACCGATATGCCTCTATAATTATTACAATTCCTTTTGTCCCCCTTTTTGTGTATTTTACACATTTACTACCAACATCTTTTTCTCTGAATATATCTTCAAGTATAGAGGAACCTATCTAAAACTTGACAAAACAGCTACGAAAAAAAATGTACTATAAAAATTGTCTGATCAGCTCTAAAAATGTTGCAAAAGAAACATAATAAACGATTTTATCTATGATCCATAATAAAACTAACACAGTTCAAACATTTTCTCTTCCATATCCTTAAAATCTAAATGAATACTTCGTTAATGTGAATAAAAATATAACATAAACTTAAATCTCCCAAAAAAATGCGTTGGAAGTCCTGGTCTTACTAATTAATGATTCCTTTGAAAAAGTTATATTTCCATAGTGCCTAGAGAGACTTATAAAAGCCCGACTTTGTCCTTTCTCGTTGAAATCAACATGTAATCGCAGTCAGTTTGGATTTTTATCTAATAAATATACCAGTAATGCTATTTCTTTTGTACTACATGAAATAATAATCTTTATACCGCCACTGTTTTTGTGACTATGCCAAAGCTTTTGATTGTGTAAATCACGACATTTTGATAAAAAAACTAAATTTCTACGAAATTCGAGGTATTTCTTTAAATTGGTTCCAATTCCTCTCGAGAAATATGAAACAGCTAGTTCGAGCAAATGATACTGACTCAAGTTGTGGAGTAACACAAGTTTCAGTATTGGGTCCTCTACTTTTCTTATCTTTTTAAATGACAGCACTAACTAAATCGATTGAATTTTTTTTCTTTTTGCTTGATACCAGTATCACCTGGAGGAACTCTAATATTGCAACTATTCATGCAACTATAACCTCTGATATACTTAAAGTTAAAACCTGGTCCCATTCTAATTTACTCTCTTTTACCGTGGATAAGACAGTAGCATTATCCTATAAAGGAGATCTTCACCCTTGCTTCTTAATAAAAACCAGATCAGTATCGTTGATTCTGTAAAATTTCTTGGTATTTTTATAGACAGAAACCTTAAATGGTCCCTTTATATCGATTTTTTGAGTAAGAAACTAGTCTTAGCCTGCTATGCAATAAGATCTGTTTTGAAAGAAATCAATTGTGTTTTGCATCTTCCAAAATGACATATATTTTTCTTTGTTCAAGTTTCATCTTCGATATGGTCTTTCTTTGTGGAGTTCTAGTACAGCTGCCCAATCTGATGTTATTTTTGAATTACAAAAAAGAACAATACGGTATATTTTTGGTCACAGTAGAATAACACGTTGCAGAAGCTGCTTTAAAAATCACGGGATTTTAACTCTTACCTCTTTATATATATTTTAGAAACTGTTTGCTTAATTCGTAAACACCTACATACAGATTATTTCAGCAAGAAATAACCATGACTATTCCACCACAAATTCAACCACCGAGTTAGTAAAGAAATCTATATTATATTCACAAAAAAATTATACAACTATCTCCCTTTGCAACTTAAATTTGCAACTCTTTCCTTAGAAAGTTAGTACATGGTATCTCGTAAACAACATGTGATTTTTTAAGTTTTGGAGTTTGTGTTTTTAGTTTTGTGAAATATCCATTTAAGAGGTTGTTGCCTTTGTGGGCCACTGTTATATTATGTTTGGCTAAAAGATTTGTTAGTTGTTCGGATAAACCTTGTATAAGTGGTTTTTATACTGTTGGGTTTGTTGTTAGTTGTATTGTTATAAAATTTATTGAGTCTTGATTTGAAAATAGTTTCGATTAGATGTTCGGGATATGCATTCTTTATAAGGGCATTTTTTGCTTTTTTTATTGCAGTTGGTCTGTATTCTGGATCTGTTAGTTTTATAGATTTATCAGCGAGACTTATAATTACAGACTTCTTATGGGAAAATGGATGATGGGAATTGTAGTTAAGATATCGTGAAGACCATGTTTCTTTTGTAAATCACATAGTTTTAACTTATTGTTAATGCGATGTAAGGTGATATCCAGAAAGTTTATTTTATTATTTTGTTTAATTTCTATAGTGAAATTTAATTTTGGATGGTAACTGTTAAAAATATCTAAAATTTCGGTTGTTTTATTTGTTGGAATAGCACAGATACAGTCATCGATATAGCGCTAGAAGAATGGTACATTAAAATCTAAATGACTCATAACAGATTCTTCTAAGTCTTCCAAATGGGTGCAAGTATTTCTAGTGTCATTGCCCAACTGGTTCTGGAGGACTTAGAAGAATCTGTTATGAGTCATTTAGATTTTAATGTACCATTCTTCTACCGCTATATCGATGACTGTATCTGTGCTATTCCAACAAATAAAACAACTGAAATTTTAGATATTTTCAAATCATGATTTACAATGTATAGACTTTGTAAATGATTCGGGAGTGTTCCTCGTAATATTCAAGGGTCTTGGTTTGTTTATTTCTAGTGCGTCTTAATTGTGATTTTAGTATCGTATTATAAAGAGGATAACGTATTTATGAAACGCAACATAACCAGAACACTAAAAACCAAAAAATATTCTGATACTATAAAAGAACAGAAATATTTTACCAACGCTTGTTAATATGCTCACAGAACTTTTTAATAAATATCTAAATGGAGATAACATACTTGAAAGCTGGAAAAAAAATGGATTATACCGATAAAAAATGGATAGGGTAGACTGAAAAAACTACCGCTGCATGTCAGTTACCAGCACTCTTAGCAGATTGAACAGATTGCCATAACAACTCTAGTCGAAAACGATTATAAACCACTTGAGCTAGAACAGAAAGCAGGATTTCGAGTTATACGATCTTAAATCGACCACATCTTCACTTTAATCCAACTTAATAAAAAAATAATGGCTAAGGATAGACCAACTCATCTATTATTTGTGGAATTAAAGAGAGCTTATGATATAATACCTCCATGTAGACTAGGGCAAGTACTGCTCTATACATAGCACACATGTGAAAGCCATACGCCGATTTTACAATGATTGTAATGAATAATATCAATAAATATTAACAACCACTTCCCTGACAATTTTAGGGTAAACAAGGAACTAAGGCAAGGCTGCAGTTTATCTCCAACACTCTTCAAAATCTACCTGAGTGAGCATACCATTAAACGACGAAACAACCGTTTACACTTCTATTATAAAGACTTTAAACCGGAAGGTGCAGGACGCTATAAACTGGATATTATATTATAAAATCTGGTACTGTAGTTGGAGTAATTAACGTTGTATAATGATGTGCTGATATCATTCATTCATTTGCTTATGTATACTTCCAAATATTTTTTATTCATGTAGCTGAATGTTATGTATTTATTGCATACTTTTATTTTAGGTGATGGAACTTCACTTACTATGGACGAAATGACCGCCCAAAGCTTCGTATTCTTCATTGCTGGTTTTGAAACTAGTGCAACCACAATGAGTTTCGCTTTATACGAACTTGGCAAAAATCCATCTATCCAGGATACACTTAGGGATGAAATTAATCACGTACTTAAAAAATATAATGGACAAGTTACTTACGATGCCTTAAATGAGATGAAATACATGAGTCAAGTTATTGATGGTAAGCAAAAATAGTAAATTACTAAATAGTATTTAATTTTTAACGCAATAATAAAATCTACAAGATTGAAAAGTCAATTGGTTGTAGTAGGCTGTATACTATATATATTATCTCAACATTTTTTATTAAATAATGAAGAAAAATACCTCTACTAATAATCAATCGATCGAGAATATCTACCACAACAACACAATAAAAGTAAAACTAGAGAAGACCTAACCGACCCCATTGAAGCTATTGAAGCTAACAATGGGATAACACAGACATTGTAATATTCGCCACAAGTTTCGAAGAACTACGGACCATGATGACGCAACAATTTCAAGCTTTGGAAAAAGTAGGTCTTAAGATGAACTAAAAAAAAATAATGACAAATACACCGAACATTAGAGAAATAACGTTGAATGGCACAAATTTAGAAACAGTAAGCGAATACATCTACCTGGGACAGATAATAAATGTTAACAAAGAAAATCAAACTGCCGAAATTACCAGAAAAATAAGGTTAGCATGGGCAGGATTTGGAAAACTGAGTTGGATCTTGAAAAGCACTAAAATAGAACAATATTTGAAAACAAGAATTTACGATCAGTGTATCCTCTCTAGTCATGTATGGTTCACAGACATGGACATTCACCAACTCTAATATGGGTAAAATAGTAAAAGTAAAAATAGCGATAGAAAGATCAATGCTTGGGGTGAGACTTATAGACAAAAAAACCAACAAATGGATAAGAAGCAAAACCAAAGTAAAAGACGCAGGAAAACATGCTGCCAAATTAAAATGGAGCTTTGTAGGACAGAATGCCCGACTAAAGAACAAAAGACGGAACCACGAAATACAACAATGGAGACCATGTTTAGGAAAGAAAAGCAAAGAAAGACCAGAAATGAGATGTACTAATAACATTAAGAAGATCGGAGGACACAACTGGAAGCAAGTGGCGCAAAATAGAAAACACTGGATTGATTTGGGGGAGGCTTATGTCCAATGTTGGATTATTTAAGGCTGAAGAAGAAGGAACGATTATATAAGCCAAATGTCAACAAACAGAGTAGTAACAACGGCAAGAGACGGTTTCCCTATAGAAAGACGATCAGTAGTAAGACTACAAAAACGATGGAACGCTAACTTAATGGAGGCACATTGAAAAACAGACAGGGTCATGTCTATATGTCTAATAATTTTGTTTTTCCGATCAAAGAGAAGCTATATATGTATTATTTTGTAGTATATACCGTTTGATCCAGGAATAAGTAGATATTTGATATAAGATTGCATTTCAATTCAGCTTCAGATAATTTTTAATCAAGATCAAATACATTTTTTGAAATATATGCATAACATTTTTTAAATGCATCGCTGTAACAAAATGTTTTATTTTTACAAATGGATCCAAAATATCTAAAAGAGTAAAAAAGTAAATATTTGATGAGTAAGGTTTCATTACAATTTTTTTTTGTATAACACCTGTGCAGTGGCGCACCCATAATTTGTCTTGAGGGGGGGGTTTAGAACTTTTTTTATGCTACCTTCATTTTGAGTCTCTAAAATTTGGGTTTAAGTTTAATTTAAAGTAGTAAAGGCAGCAGTGCCAAAGATTCGTTTATTAATTATCCTGCCTACCAACTAAAACCACCTTCTCTTACTTGTGCGCAGTTGACTTTCGCACGTACATTACTCCGAAAGTGGGGTGGCCGCTGTAAGGCTGACGAGATTTTTGGAACACTCCCTTCTATTATCTAGATCTTATCTATTGTTCTGAAGCTATTTTCTTGTAGCGTTTTAAAGTAATTACTATTTTAATGGGAATAAGCCACAATACTACTACTACTAAGGATTTCCACAGTTTTCACTGTCTTCCTTCACTCAACCGTTTTCTCCAATTTTCCCTGTCATTCCAGTCTCCATCTCGCAGGGTTCTTTTCTCCATAGCCTCGTCGATTTCGTCTCTAAATGACCTTCGGGGTCTTCCTCTCTTTCTTCTTCCGATCGGGCTCCATTATGTAATTTTGTTTATCCAGCGTCTTCTGTCCTCTCTTCTGACGTGGCCGTACCAGGATAGTCTCTTCTCCTCTATATAGTCGATTATGTCTGATTGCACTTCCATTCTCCGCTTAATCTCTGCGTTTTTAATTCTGTCTCTTTTTATAAGTCTACAGCTTCTCCTCAGGAACTCCATTTCTACTGCTCTTATTCTACCTCTATTTCTCTTGTTTATTGTCCAGTTTTCGGACCCATATGTCAGGATACTTCTTGTCAGGGTATTATATATTCTCTTTTTGTCTTTATAAGCCACAATTGAACGTTAAAATAACTTTATTGATGTTTGGCATTAATCCAACTTGTAAATTCAATACATTTTGGAGACACCTATCGCCGTATTCCCGTTCTCCTCCGCCTATCATCCTGGTCCAAGGCATGCTGCTCCTCCAAATCTCTCAATTTCATCGCTATTCTAATTCCTGCATTCCATGGGCGTCGAAGTCTACCTCTTTTTCTTCTTCCAGGGGGCTTCCATTTGTGAAGTTTTTGGGGCCAACGACCGTCAGGCATTCTTAATAGGTGTCCAAACCATTTTGAACCTCTTCTTTATATTCTGTCAATGACCGTTTCTGTAGCATTCATGTTATTTATTATAGATTCGTTGGTATCTCTTTCCTTCCTTACTGTTCTAGCACTTCTTCTCAAATAATCTATTTCAACTGCCAAAATCTTCTCTTCAGGTCTGCATTAATTGTCTATACTTCAGAGCCATAACAAAGAACTAATTCATCCATGGTTTGCCTTATTCTTTTTTAAAATGTTGCGATCCCACCATAAGGAGTTGAGACATCCACAATTTTACGTCCCTGATTAATTTGGTGTTTAATTTCGGTTTCTCCCAAGCCGTTCGTATCAATGAGTGGACCTAAATATTTAAAATTTTCCACTTGTTTAATTTCCACGCCCTCGTCTATCAAACCTTGCATCTGAATTGATAACTAAATATTCTGTTTTCTTCATGCTTATTGGTAACCCTTATTTTACATATTCTCTGTTAGACGCTTTATCATAAATTCTAGATTATAAGAATCTTGAGCTGCAACGACTTGGTCATCCTCAAAGTTTAGAGAGAATAGTACATCATTTCCTATGGGATTCCTATTCCCTGACAGTAGTTTTTCAATTTTAGAGGGCCGTCTGAATATATAAATTAAACAGTAAGGGTGACATACTGCATCCTTGTTTTAGTCCTTTAGTTACTTTTATTGGCTCTGATATCTATTTCCGATTTTTAGGTAAGTAGTGTTATCCCTGTATACTTCTGTAATTATTATTAAAAGGTATGGACTAATGTCGAGTTGTTGTAAAGCTTGCCACAAATTAAGTCTTGAAACTGCATTATATGCATTTTCTAGGTCGATAAAGGCTATAGGTACTTCGTTACCAACCGCTATTCTTTTTTCTATTAATTGTTGGGGTATAACCAAGTTATCAGTGCAAGATCAAAGATCAAAGATTTAAACGTCAATAAACTTATTTTAACCTTTAATTGAGGCTTATTCCCATTACAAAGTAATTAGATCTTATATCCGTCGTTGGCCCGGTCGGTGTTACCCTTCTTCTTTTTTCGTTTTAATGACTGCTTGGATGTAATTGTGGATACTATTCCATCCCTCCGTACTTCCCGTCATCTTTACGATCATCTCTCTTACAGTCACAGGGTTCATACCTATTTGTTTATACATTCTGTTTCTCCCCACTGTTCATCTATTCAACTCCAGCGTTGTGTGAATAACAATGTTGGAATATTCGCAGTATAGGCATTTATCTGTATCTATCATTATGAAGCTACAGACAATCTACCCAGTCCCTTAGGCTCGGGATCAACATCTTGGTCCACTGGGCAACATCTTCTCTGTTGTTCCACTCTTTTTGCCTTCTTTTCATTGATGTTTCTTTTTCTTCTTTTTTTATAACTGTTGTCAAATGCTCTCTTCTCTCATAGGATGTCTCTTTTCTACTGCTAACAGATTTAGAGGAACACAACCCGTGATAGTCCACAAGGCCGCCGCAGATACAGTCCTTTAGGCGCATGCTACTCGCAACAGACTGTTTACTTTTGTCATAAACCTAATATTAGGTATCTATACCTAAATATAACGAAAAATATTAATTATTATGTATTAATTATTGTATATTTTTACAATTATTATTGTGTTCTACATATTTAAAGTGGCAATTTAATTATTCAATTAGCGTTTTGGATTTTTTGTATTGTGTGTGAAAGACAAGTTACATTTTTCACCTATTCTTTATATATTTTTTACTTTATATACCCTGGGGGTTTTAACCTCAAAACCCCCCGCCTGGGTGCCCCACAGCACCTGTGTGGTATACTGTGTTTGCATACTGCTATCTGGTCACAAATGATCAATTATTAGTTATTTTCTGACCTAACTAAATAAACAGCAAATACTTAAATTTAAGGGCTTATTCTACGGCTTACTCTTATTTTATCTATCAACTCATGCACTACAACTAACATGAAATAACATTACAACACTATACTCTGCTTTTTACACTAAACTGTTACACATTTACACTAACTCAAATGGTTTTGTCCTTATGTGTCTTCTCTTTAGTTCAGTGTTGTCAAAAAGCTGGATTATCTCGACATTCACATGACTATGCAGCCTCTGCTCGTAACTTGCTGCTGTTCTCTTGATTATTTCAATCACAGTGTTCATACCCAAGTCCTGGTGGAGGTTGCTGTTATGGATATACCAAGGAGCATCAACAACATTTCTCCGTACTTTGTTTTGAAATCTCTGGACAATATGTAGATTACTAGCTGTGGTACAGCCCCAGAATTGGCACTCATATAATCATACTGGCCTCAGTACTTATTTGTAAATAAATAATTTATTATAAATAAATAATGTTAATTTTTTTCCAATCAGTCAATATAATTTCTTATATCTAATATCAAGCTACCCTCTTTTCTTTTTGGCAC